ACAAACATTCGGTAGAATTTATAGAATATTGTAAAAATATATATATATATATATATATATATATAATATAAGTGCCTTACCAGTTCATTTTTATACTTTTTCTTTTTTTTTCATAACTTCTTATTATGGTAAATTTTGTTTGGTCAAGAATTGCCTGCTTTTATGATAAAGTTTTTGTTTTTTGTTGTTGTTTTGACTTTGTTGTAATTAATTTACAAATGTGAACTATTTGTTATGTAGCCACTGTCAATACAATTTTTTTTAATTTATGCCTAGTTTCAATAAACTGTGCAAAAGGAAGCAAAAATATATATACTTATTTATTTATATACACATACATTGAAATCAAAACTAGAAGACACCATCCCAAAGTATTAAATGTCCCATTATGTTGTTGTTTTGATTGAGCTCGTTCTAAAAACGACAACCTGTGCCAACTTGCATTTGAACATTTTCTGACCTTACAACCCATCCTCTACAATGTTTTACTTTCATTTATAAAAAAAATAGTCTACCAATTTTTTCAATAAAATGAATTAATTTATCAACACCAGCATCCATAAAGGGTTTTACCCAAAAGTCGACGGCTTAGCAAAACATACACACATGTTAACACACATGCCTAAAGATGCCAATCAATCAATCAATCAATCAATCAATCAATCAATCAATCAATCAATTAGCTTATAAAGCGCTATTTCCGCGATGTTCAACAGCGCTCCTCATCGCTCAACAGATGAAAAAGCCAGTGAACTATCATCGTTGCTTACTCGACTTAAGAAATGCTCTTGGTGAAGTGAATCACTTTCACATTAGTTTAATCTTATTATTTCATTTTATACCGAAAAAATTTAAATCATTAATAATACCTATACATTCAAGTTATTCAATGCAAATTTGCTGGCTGACGCATATAAACATCTTAGATGCAATACAGAATTTTTCCCCGAACAAATTTTATATAATGAAATTTTTATATAGCGAATTGTCTTCCTTGAATCGTTCGTTGTTCGGAAGTTTGACTATATTATATTGTTTTGGTCGAATTAATTGTGGTATAATTAAGTTAAAAAATATTTTAGATAATTTTCAAGAATTTATAAGCAAGGGCAACACAAAATACATTATATAATTTTAGAGTTGTTTAATGTAATACGTCAAAACTTGGGTCACTTTTTTGATCGAAATACTTTAAATGGCCAATAGCGGATTGAGAGTGGCCTGGTGGAGCTATTGTTTTTCAGCTATCAAAATATATGATCATATATGTTGAGTCTCCCAATAAATATTTATTTCTACATTATAAACTTTTTGACAAAAATTTGTTTGATAAGCCTAGAAAGGGTCGCCATTTCTTTTTTACACAATTTGGCAGGAATGTAACATTGTATTAATTTTTTCAACACATCCACTCTTTGATACACTTCTGTTGCATCTACATTAACAATCAATTTGTCAATGTTGTAATCTAGTTTTGGTCCCTCCCGTCAAAGTTGTCTAGATTCACCTGTTATAGTAGCAACGAATGTTTTCCAGTTTTGCAGGGCCAAGAGTTATCGACAGACGCACGTCAACATTGAACATATCAATCACCATGATCAACGCATTATCCAAACAGTGAAAAAATTCATAGTTGCACACTTTTACGAGTTGATGCAGGGCCACTATTTGGATGGACTACAGCCTATGAACATTGTTAAATTTGCCTCTGATGACAATCTCTGTTTCATGGTAAACAACGAAATTAAGCTGAATCAATAAGAACATGATTATAAGCTTTTGACTGTTATTATATATTATCTACATAGGATGGATAGATTTGACATGTGGTTGTATTTTTTCACGGAATCGATGAGAGTAGGTTTGTTAGATGATGATAAGTTGGATAGTTTATTTGAAGGGCTGGTGTGGTTAGATGACTGAAATCAAAAAGGGAGAGATAGAATAGCTAAATATCTCACTGAGCAACAGAAAAAAAGAAAGAAAATGAAACAACTGAAATAATCTCATCGGAATCAAAATCAAGTAAACCCAAAAACATTTCTACACATGCTTAGAAGTACATTAGCAAAAAAGTTATTTGAGCATGAAAACATGAAAAACAACCTGATCATCTAGTTGAAGCTAATTTAGTGAATGCATTCAAAAGTAGATGGAGTACTAAAAAGCTGAGCATCATCTGCCTTTTCGATATTCCATTAAGGGTGGTCTCTCAAGCTCGACGAGCTCAAATCAGTTCGTGCACCAAAAAAATACTAAACATGCATAAATATTATGCAAATGCGTAAAATAATTTAATTTTAAAATTATTGAAATAAATGATTTTTTCAAAAGTGAATAAATATTTATAAATAAACTATAAAAATGTAAAAATTGTAAAACTTGATGAGTTTAATGAAAATGAGTTTAGTTCATGGAAACTAAAGTGAGACCAGACTCTAAAAATGTGTGAGGTTGAATTCGAAGGCAAGTATAAAGTATATTATGATTCAAGTTTACCATAAATGAAGTTTACTGCTCGCGTTTTCAGCCCAGTCCAGCTTTGTTAATGGTTCTTAATCTATGGACAACAAATGACATGTAACGAGTTATCGCTCGCGGGACAAGTGCTCTTTTTAATGGATGATTTATTAAAAGCCCCATGAATGCAAAACTTTACATTAGTGCCTCAATTCCCTTTGACGCCTATCTACGTCATATTCTAAAATTTTGCTTGCACTGGTTAGGGCGCTAATGTAAAGTTTGGTTAAACTTAAAATTGTTTTAAATTTTAAAATCAAATAAATTTTTCTGGGGATGAATGATTAAAATTAAAATGCAACGCTATCATTATGCGCTAATAATAATCTGCGTCCTGGCCGCCTGTTACCATAACAGTCTCAAATGTGGTTTCGTTTTCGACGACGTGTCGGCGGTTCGCGACAACAAAGACCTCAGACCGTCTACGCCATTAATTAATTTACTGCAAAATGACTTTTGGGGCACTCCCATGGATAAAGACCGGAGCCACAAATCTTACAGACCGCTCTGTGTTTTTACATTCAGATTGAATTATCTTTTTGGGGGCCTGGAACCATTTGGGTACCATTTGGTGAATGTGGTACTGCACGCCGTGGTTTCCTTGCAGATGTTTTACTTTGGTTTGAGTTTGAACATGGAGGTTGTTAGCAGTTTTATGGCCTCCATTTTATTTGCTGTTCACCCAGTTCATGTTGAAGCAGTGACTGGTGTTGTGGGTAGGGCAGAGCTGCTCTCCTCCATCTTTTTTTTCCTTGTTCTTAAATTGTTCCACAGCAGTGCAGAAAGTAATAGAAGGAATGAACTTGTGCAATCCTATGTCAAACTACTCTGCAGTATTATTCTGGTAGCTATGGCAACACTAAGTAAAGAACAAGGTATTACTGTTGTGGCCGTGTGCTGTGTTCATGAATTGGTCATCATTCGTAAATTAAATTTGAAAGAAATTGTCACTGTCATTAACAATGTTCTCACATTTAATTTCAAAAAACTGCCACCCTGGTTTCTTAATACATTGTGTCGATGTGGTTTCCTAGTTGGTGCTACATGTTTGCTGCTCTATGCAAGGATCAAAGTGATGGGGGCTCAGTTGCCTGTTTTCACTAAATTCGACAATCCAGGTGCTGCTGCTGATCAACCACAGAGGTTTCTGACCCACAACTACATGCTGCCAATCAATATGTGGCTTCTCATCTATCCATCATGGCTCTGTTGTGATTGGACAATGGGCACCATTCCAATTATTGAGTCATTTAGTGACTTAAGAAATTTAGCTACCCTGGCCTTTTACTGTGGGTTTGCAATTTTAATTTGGTGTTTTTATAGAACCGATGAGGTCGTTGTGTATGAAAAACCAGTGGCCAAATCTTCAAAATCCAATTCAAAAACACTGAAAATGTCAACATCTAAAAAATCAGCAGCAGCTACAACATCATTATCATCATTGCCATTACAAAAAACAACATCATTGGATGTTAAGACTTCTTACAATGTTCTGTTTTTATCATTGTTGGTGTTTCCATTCATTCCAGCTTCCAATCTCTTTTTCCCAGTCGGATTCGTTGTTGCGGAGCGCATCCTATACATGCCAAGCATTGGATTCTGCTATTTGGCTGTGTCTGGGTTCGATACTCTGTCGAAACACTTCAAAAACAAAATTCCACACACTTCTGCAATATTGAAGATAATCTTCACATGCATCGTCATCTTATTTTCTGTGAGGACGTACGTGCGCAATGAGGATTGGAAGGATGAATACTCCCTGTTCATGTCGGGAGTGAGGATCAACCAGGCCAATGCCAAACTCTTCAACAACGTTGGACATGCATTGGAGAATGAAAAGAAATTTGAAGAGGCACTGAAGTATGCTTTAGTTGATGGGATTGTGGTATTTATATTGTGTAGTGGTGTTGATGCTGGTAATGATGGTATTAGAAGTAGTTGCAGTGAGATGTGTCAATAATGAGGGTTTCATTCAAATGAATGTTCTCAATTTTGTTCATTTAAATGAACATTTTGATTTTGCGATCATTTCAAATACTTAATTTCAACTAAAATTGAATCATTCTATTTACTTGAGTAATGTCTATTCCCCTCACCACATGGAAGATTCTTCTTGAAGGCTGCAGAAATCCAACCAGATGACATCGGGGCCCACATAAATGTCGGCAGGACCTACACAACCCTCAAGAAGGATGATGAAGCAGAAATCAGCTACAGGAAAGCCCTCGCCCTCCTGCCTCCTGTCAAACCAGGGCAGAGCTACATGACCAGACTGGCTCCCAGTCATTTAAATGTCTTCATCAATTTGGGCAACTTGTTGATTAAGAATGTCTCCAGACTGAACGAAGTCGATGTGCTCCTCAAAACGGCCATCTCAATGAGGAACGACTTTGTTCAGGCTTACATCAATCGTGGTGATGTGCTGATGAGATTGGGTAGAGTTGATGAGGCAAGGTGAGTTTTTTTATTTTCATTGCATAAATGGTGATCCTTGGAAAAATTCTTTAATTCAAAGAATCATTTAAAATATTTCATATTTGTGCAAAAATGAGCTTTTTTCTGTTTAAATGCAATCCATTTATTTGTTTTTTTTTTCTAACTCAGCATTGATAAATGATGCTTTTAATCCTTAATATAATTAGCATTAAAGATGAATGGGAATCAACTGAACGCAAGCACATATCAAATCAACACACAGGTCTCAATATGTAGAAGCTCTGAAACATGAGCCAAACAACCCTGACCTCTACTACAATCTAGGAGTGGTTTCCATCGAGATGAACCAAACAGATGAGGCATACTCCTACTTTGATCGTGCACTTCTTTATGATCCTGACCACAAGCAGAGTCTTCTCAACTCAGCAATCATGCTGCAAGGTATCAACGATCCAACACTTAGGTCAAAGGCTGAGGAAAGATTGTTGAGATTGAAAGAGATTGATCCTTCTGATGAAAAAGTTATAAGTTATTTTTTCTGGACAATGCATTCATACATTTATTTCTTGCTTATGAAGTATTGATTAATTTACATTTAAATGATATTCTATCATCAATTTATTCTTGTTACAAAACAATATTAATTTTTTCAGGTTCATTTTAATTTGGGAATGTTGTACACTGATGCATTGAGATACAATGATGCCAGATCGTCCTTTAAGAGGGCCATCCAGTTGATGCCGTCATTCAGATCTGCCCTTTTCAACCTTGCTCTCCTATTGGCCAATGATATGAAGATGCATTTGGAGGCAGTTCCAGTGTTGGAGCAGTTGTTGCAGCACTACCCGAGCCACACGAACGGCTTAATCTTATTGGGCGATATCAGCATAACTCATTTGAAAGATCTCAACAGGGCACAAACATGTTTCGAGAAGATTTTACAACAGGACCCTAACAACATCCAGGCTTTGCATAATTTATGCGTTGTCCACTCAGAAAGAGGTGATCTCTTAAAAGCTGAAAAATGTTTAGTGAAAGTGCTAAGCTTAGCGCCGTCTGAAGATTACATAAAGAGGCATTTAGTTATTATTAGGCAGAAAATACAGAGTTTGATGAAGAAGGGAAAAAATGAAAAGGTGAATGAAGGAAAGAGGTGACATAGTTGACTGCGGCCCTGACCTAGAAACACTCAAGTGTGGATGCCATGAAGAACCAAGATATCATGAGAAGTATGAATCGAAATATTGCAATGTTTTTGCTTTTTTTTCTACGTTCAATGAAGCGAATTTTTTTTAAATTTATATTTTGTGTGTGCATATCTTATTTATTTGTGTCACTCGTTTTTAAATGTCTCATTTCTCTGTGCTACATTGTGAAACTTGCTTCCACCTAATTTTTATCATGATTGAGTTGCCTCTTTATCTCAAGATAAAAAGGTTTTATCATTTTTGAATGCTAACAGTTTTTCATATCCAAGTTTTAATTTTAACGTCATGCTGTGCTGTCATCTATCAACTTTTAACAGTGTTCCATTGGGTTTTATTTATAGTTTTGTTGTTTTTTTTAATTTATTCAATTTATATTTTTATATTAATTTGTTTAATTTTTAACAATTTTTCATAATAATTTATTTATTCATACTTATACTACTTAGTTAGACAAAAAAAGAATCTCATAAATTTTGTTTTTTGGACTGTACCAGTTAAAAGCTCGTATTGCGAATGCCTGAAAATTGATTTATATTTTAATTCGTTGATAGATAGTCAATAAAAATAAGAACGCCGGATTTAAAAATTCATTGAAAACGTGAGAGAGAGGGGGAGAGCTAATCATAATGATATAATGCCCTAGATGATAATGATGGTAGTTGTGACAGTATTTAAGATGATGAATGCCATGATGCTGTGATGATATTTGATATGATAACGATAATGATGACGTGACTACAGCAAAGAGGAATGAAGGTAAATTCAGCCATGTTTCTCAATAAAAGAATACAATTTTTTTGATGAAAACCAAGTATAGAATGTACAATAAATCACTAAACAAATGGAAAAATACATATGGACAACCGTGATGAAAATACTGATATTCGTAACGTGTAATAATGAGAAAAAAAGTTTGTAGGCAGCACAGACAAACACTATTATACGTTAACAAGAGGAACTTATTTCAACTGAAATACACACACACACACACATATATATATATATATAGTATTGTAGGAATTCTACCGAATTGTTGGCAATAATCAGTTCAAAGTTTGTCATTTCAATTTTCTTTACTAGAATTCTCAGGAAATTGTACACTTTATTGAAAATAGAATTATTATCCAAGTTCATGAAAATTTAGTAAAATCGTTGATATCCAAATTCATCATGCTACAAATTTTATTAAATTAAAATGATGAACTTGGATAATAATTTTATTTTCAATAAATAGAATAATTTTCAAAAAATTCTAGTAAAAAAATAATATATAAAATGGTTAAGACTGTCATAGATACAATTGTATGCCATGAACATGTAAACTGCAGTTTTGTTAGATGCATGTATATATTATATATATATATATATATATGTGCGTGTATATTTATATCAAAAAAGTGAGTAAAAATAAGGGTGAAAATAGTCGACATACAGATACCGTCGGCCAATAAAAGTACATAATGTATACCAAGATCAGAGGTGCGTTTACGGGAACACCTAACTCGTTTTAGGCCAGATGCGTTTCGTCCCTATTGAGGCTCATCAATAGTACTAGTTAAACATCAACTTAGCACATTTATTATCTCAGTAGTTAATGTTGTAAACTATGTTTTTTTTCCTGGTATTTCAGAAAATACATTGTTTTAACTCAGGTTACTGATTAGTCCTAAAAGGAGCGAAGCGCGTCTATCCTAAAACGAGTTAGGTGTTCACAATAACGCTGCACCTTTGGTTGCTTATTTTCACCTTATGTACACATATAATACAAACTTCACAAATATTATTTACTATGAAATTGTCACTCACATTAAAAAAAATAGCACACACACACACACACACATATATTTATATATATATAGAGAGAATATACATATATTGATATATTTTATATATTTGTAATAAATACGTTTTTTATGTACATGTAAACTGCAGTTTTGGGTAGATGAAAAAATTGTTCAGTAAATTTAGCAAATAATTAAAATCCCATATATATATATATATATATATATATATATATATATATATATATATATATATATATATATATATATACATAAACAATCATTTTTTAATTCTAAATGATCCGAAAAAGACAAAAATGATAATGATAAAAAGTGACACCATGGAATTTTAATATAGGACTATATGGAAGCATTTACGTTATTGCACAGTTAGCTACCTGCAATAAATATCAACTTAATATCTTATTTAGAGTTTGCCTCTCTGAAATATAATGAGATTGTGAGGTCGATGTTGCTCTTGTTTGCAATGGCGTGTGTAAAGAGGTAACAATAAGACAACTCCAGGGTTAACATCAATCAGTGGAACGAAAAGGTGTTCATAACTTTTAAATGACAATCAAAATTTAAAAAAAGAAAACAAAATCAACTTAAGATATCTTAACATTCATAATAAAAATTATGAAAAATACAAAATAAAATTTAGCAAAACATTCAGCAAAATCTGAAATGAACAAACAAACAAGCATACAAACTAACAAGCATACGAACAAAAACAAACTAAGAAATGAAAAAATATGCTCAGAACTTCAGCTTAACAACATTCCTTTTCATGTAAGACAAAAATTGATCAGGAATTTCAGCCAAGACCTCCTTAGCTAGCATGGCCTGTGACCTTCCAAGGTCATCCCCATAACAACCTCCAATGAATTCCCTGAATGGTACAAATTGAACAATATCCCTGTCGGCCATCTTGCCATTGTACGAGAGGCGAACCTAGATTAATGAATTTTAAGACATTATATTGTGTCATTTTATGTTTTGTCACGTTGATAGATTTTTTTTTGTGTATTTTTGGTCAGACATACAACAACAACAACACACGTTTAGACGGCATTTTCCCCGAAATCGGGGGTTGCCGTTTGGCTACCTATGATGAAACCGAAATACCCCTCGACGCCATCCACATCTGTCACTCGCCTCAGTATCACGCAACCCCGCTTATTGGTCAGACATGTACCATGAATTGAGGTGGATGGTTAAAAACATTTGAATCATATGTGAAATGACCGGAAAGTTTGGAATTGAAAATAATATAAATTAAATTATGAGTTGAAGTTTCTTGTTTTAAAACAACTTTCAGTTCAAGAGCAACTAAAAGAAGAAATCATGACAAAAACTAAGATAAATGCAATCTCACTGAATTACAAACCTCATCGCCGTCCAAAATATTCATAGCCTCAAAATCAGCATTTCCAATCCCAACAATAATAATGGAAAGTGGCAGACTTGAAGCCCTCACAATGGCCTCCGTGGTTTGTGGCATATCGGTGATGATGCCGTCTGTCAGGATCAGCAGGATGAAGTAATGTTTTCCCTCCTTCCTCCATTTTGAAGCAACGTTAGCAACGTAATTGATAACAGGAGCAAAGTTTGTGGGCCCATAGAGCTGCACCCTGGACAGTGTTTGGTAGTATGCTGTCAGCACCCCATCTACCCCAATGCAGTACGGATTTGTGGAGTCACCATTCAGAAAAATTTCGTGAGACACCCTGCCATCTGGTGGGATTTTTGCCCCAAATCCCAATGCAGGGAAAAGTTTGTCTGTGCTGTAATCTTGGATGATCTCACCAACTGACCGAAGAGCTCTGGATGTTTATTAAAACTATTTGTATATAATTGTATATTAAGTGATTGTCTTTTAGAAGTTCTTTACATTTAGTATTTTTCAAATGTTTTTTTAATCACTAATCAAATGCATTAAACATATTGTTCTAATTTTATTAGGATACCTTGTTAAAGTTATTATTAAATTTATTTATCACATCTAATTTGTTTGAACATTATTTAATTAAAAGAGAAAAATAATTTAAAACAACAACAGCAGACCTGGCATAAAGGTTAGGATTGTGTGAATCAAGATAATGAAGGGAGGAGGGAGATCTCGGGTCGCCATTGGAGGCAGTGAGGTCGACAGCAATTGTGCAGTGAACCTGTACCCCTGATTTGATGTAGTCAAGAAATGTTGGCACCTGAAAATAATTATTTCCTTTTCCTTTACTTACCCAAATAACATTTCAATGAATTGTATGAATGAATGAATTGTATGAATGAAATTAAAACACAGGCACAATCACAAACACAGCGTAATTTAAAAAACAGAAGTCATCTAACAACGCAATAGACATATAAATTGCCTTTAATACACTTACAAAATTATTGGCAAACAATGATAACTGATTCAGGGTAATTCATCAAAATCTTCACCTTATATTACTTTAATGTTTAATGAGATATTGAAAATTGACATGAAAAATTAAAATACTAACTTGTTGGATTTCACACATGATCAGCTTGACAATCCCTGAATTTTTGTATCGTTTGCCCTTCTTGGCTTGCAGTGTTGGGTTGATGCATTCGTATTCGTTGGAAGGCCCAAGACCTTTTGACAGTTCATTCACTGATGTACTGAACTGACCAATGAGAGCATGTGAACCATTACGATTCCAATCAAAACATTCTATTTTTAGTGCACGATAGCTGTCACAGTTACACAAGGTTCTTAAAGGCAATACAAATGGCTGCCATGTTGGCTTCAATGTTTGTTTGATGACTTCTGTTTTGTGAACTACTGTGTACGTTTGATCCTCGTTCACTCGGCTGATCACTAAAAATGGATCCGATTTGCCAAAAAAGTCTTTACGATCAAGTTTGACAGCACAGAACTGAAGTTTTATTTCATCCCTGCTTGCATTCAGTTCTTCAGCAGATAGAATTATAGTGCCACAATTTTTTCCTTTGATGCCAGTCAACTCTTTTGACAGCTTGTTTGAAGATACAATTTCAGCTAATGTACATTCCATTCTACCCAAGAAATCATGTTTAGAAAGATCTGTACTCATTGAGTCAACATCATAGAGTTCAAATTTGAGTTTCTGTGATTCTTCAAAGAAATAATCCAAGACAAATTTTTTAACAAAATCTGGATTCAAAGTGTTCCATATAACTTCAGTCCTACCTATCTCTCTGTACTCAGTTGAAGCCAACTGCTTCATGAAGAGGACACAGAGAGGATCTGACTTTGATGTTATATCCATGTCTAAGAGGTTTCGAGCTGAGACGGCAATCTCGACTTGAGTGTTTGGCATGGAAGCCATCGAACCTGGTCTGAAAGTGTCATCATTTAACATGTTGTCTAAAGATTGCTGTTGTTATTTCAGTGCTTAAACGCTTCAACTCAAAAATGTTTAAACTTCTAAAAGCTTTTGTTGAAACTTTAGGTTTAGATTAGAATGTAAATTTGTAGATGAGTGACTTTTTTCACTTATAAATTTTTTTACACAAATAAAATAAAACAAATATTTTTAAAATTATAATATTAAAAAGTTGTTCTTAAATATTAAAGATTAAGTAAGAAGATTAATTATTAATGTAATTAATATTAAATGCTACTTTTATTTTTTTTGTTTTTAAATCTGTTACAGCATCTTATCTAGTAACTAGTTCAGTTGTAAATAATGATTCATAATCACAAATACTTTGCTTATTATGAATAGTCAAATTTTCCAGTTAATGACAAATAAATTAAAAAATTCCTGTTAAAGTTGGTGTTTTATACTGTTATTAGAATTACATTAGTTTTTTTGATAATTTCATTTTATGGCATCGTCAGTAATACACCTACCATGGTACTTTTACAAAACATCTTAGCGAGCAACGCTAATTATTGAATAATTAATTACAATATTTATAAATTACAAGTTGTATGTTTAGTCATTTTTATTATTTATTTAGTTAGGGTTTAGTTTAGGCAAGCAGTGTTAAATGTAGTAGTGTAGGGCCTAGTCTAAAAATTTGGCTATTATGTTGGGTCATAATCACAATATTTCTTCGATGAATTCATTTCCCAACAGAGTGGAAAATGTTTTTGAGACTAGCAACAACGATGACAAAGAACAATGTGGGTTTTTCAGTTTTTGTTTACTTATCAATTTAAGGATAAAAAATGGTGGAAATTTTTATGAATGAGTGGATAAACACGGTAATGGCTAGTTGGGTAAAATTTAATAGAACGAATATAGTTGGTGGGTGGGAAAAGTTACTTTCAAGAATAGAATGCAATAATTTTATTATTATGATTAAATTAAAATCAAATTAAAAAGGCCTCTGATTAAATTAAAATTCAATGTGCAGAATCTAATATTAAATTAATATATTATAGGGGTAATAAGCTAATAACTATATTAATTAATATTTTGATTATAAAATAAGTATATGTATAAGAACACTTAAGATAATGATTTCCAAAAAACTGATCAACATGCAGGTGTCCACAAAAACTGTAAAAAACGAAAAACCTGACATGAAAAATTAGAAGCATAGACTTTGAGATGGAAAATTGGAATGTAACAAACACCAAAACCAACTACATTAATAAAGATATTAACTAGCAGACAAAAACGTTAATCGAAAGTTTTGTGAGGGCCAAAAATTCACAAAATTTTTAATCGTGTGGCCAAAATTAGGCTTTTCTGCTTATCATTTTATTGCTTGTGTCATAGCGTTCACCCAACAAACATTATTTAGACCCAACAATAATGAAACTGTCATTGTTAGAACAGTTGATAAAAACGGAGATGCAATAGTTAAAAGATTTTTTTTTGCTTCAGAGATGCATTTATTTGTAATTATGTCAGGAAAACTAACTTGTAACAACAGCATTGTTAAAACAGCAATATAAAAACAACCAACAATAACAACTTTAATATCAATTATACAAACAACAACAACATTAACAGCATCATCACCAACAACGACAATCGATTCTTTCAACAAACACCAGCTCGCTTCCATGGAATATTTTTCTTGAAATGCAAACATAAAAAATAAAAAAATTATAGAAAAACAAAGAGGCTGCAAAAGAACTGCAAAACAATATCGGAAGCGTTTTGTTTAAAAAACCGATAAAAGAGATTTATGAAATATGTCTTATTAATATTAATGACAAATTTTACTACCCAAACGACGACTATTACTACTGCAGTTACTACTATTACTGCAATACTACTACTACCATCACTATTTCTACTACTACTAGACTACTACTACTACTACTACTACTACTACTACTACTACTACTACTACTACTACTACTACTACTGTTTTTACTATCAATACTTATAGCAGTACTTCTATTATTACTAAGATGATAATATAAATAGTTGTACCTTTTGTAGTATTAACTAAAGGAATAATAATGGAAGTATTGGTAGTATTGCTAGCGTTAATAATAATAATAAAAGTATTAGTATTTGTAGTAGTAATAGTAGTAGTAGTAGTAGTAGTTGTTGTTGTTGTTGTTGTTGTAATAGTAGTAGAAGTAATAGTAGAAGTAGTAGTAGTAGTAGTAGTTGTTGTTGTAATAGTAGTAGTAATAGTAGTAGTAGTACTTAGTAGTAGTTTAACAGCTTTCAGTAATGCTGATAAACCTCCACCGTCCTACAAGTAGCCATCCAGCAGGGAACATCATAAAACGCATCTCCGTGTACGTTAATATTGGATTTATGCTCCCGCCTGCATATCCTTCCCTATTTATGTAACTACCCATATAGGCGTATGTGTGTACATCATTTAAATCAATTTTTCGTACATACATACATACATACATACATACATACATACATACATACATACATACATACATACATACATACATACATACATACATACATACATACATACATACATACATACATACATACATACATACATACATACATACATACATACATACATACATACATACATACATACATACATACATACATACATACATACATATATATATGTTGGTATAATATAATTTTTACAATATTCTATAAATTCTACCGAATGTTTGGCGTTAATATGTTTGTAGTTCGTTTTTTCGATTTTTCTCACTAAAGTTTTTTGGTGAACCTTTAGTTTATTAAAATTCAAAATAAACTTATTTTTCGAATTCATGCTGCAAATAAGGCCATATTTCGATTCCGAATGAATCATCATCAAGCTCCTTGCTTGCTTTGACGTTGTAAGTTCATCTTGACAAAGTCAATATTTCCCTTTATATACAGCAAGGATAAACTTGTAAACTTGTAAATCTTGACAAAGTCAATATTTTCCTATATATACAGCAAGGATGAACTTGTAAACGTTGTAAACGTTCAAGTTGTGACGTTGTGTTCAAGTTTCTGTGAACACAACGTTTGACGTCTTGACAAAGTCAATATTTCCCTATATATACAGCAAGGAGCACTGATGATGATTCATTCGGAATCGAAATATAGCCTTATTTGCAGCATGAATTCGAAAAATAAGTTTATTTTGAATTTTAATAAACGTTCACCAAAAAACTTTAGTGAGAAAAATCGAAAAAACGAACTACAAACATATTAACGCCAAACATTCGGTAGAATTTATAGAATATTGTAAAAACATACATATATATATATACATATATACATATATATATATATATATACGGTCGGCCAGTATGAGTATATAGAGTACACTATCTTTCACCACGACCGAAGGTGCGTTTCTGTGAACACACAACTCGTTTTAGGCTAGACGCGTATCGTCCCTTATGGGACTCATCAGTAGCTCGAGTTTATAGACCAATTATTTTCACGGTTGACAATATTGCAAACTAACGTGTTTTTTAAAGTGATTCTCAGAGTGTTAAATGCTTAAATAATGTTTTAAGCAGTGATGCAGCTAGACGTATGTGCACATTCAAAAGTCAGAGCAGGAAAATTTATTGTGTTGACATGACTACTTCTTTACAATTGAGTGATAACGAGTCTTGTTTTGGCAGAAAAATTTGATGACTGACGACAAGTTTGGGCTTGGTCTAGACAATGAAAAATTTAAAAATGCATACAAATTTCTAACTTAAAAATAGTCTTTTCTAGTTATTATTATAGCAATTTTGTCATAAAAAAAACAGAAAAATAGTTGAATTATTGCATTTATTCGTGAATTAAAAATTCTCTAATTGTCACGCTGTCACGCAAGAAGAGTACGCTTCACGCTTCAGTTTTCATGAGTATAATAATACAAATGTTAATCTTCAAGAGTTATTTTATATTCGAAAAACGACCATCACCATCAACGTAGCAAATATTAAAATTTCAAAATTTGTAAGAACTTTACAAATTTGAGAATTTAAAAAAATGCAGCATGTTTTCATTGTATGTTCGTGCATTCTCTTTGCATTCACATTCAGCAGGTTCACTTCTGTATTCGAAAAAACATACCAAATGATAGGTGACCTGGATAATCCGAAATGTTTTCTTCCCAAACCTAACAAAATGTTATCAAACATTCGATCCGTACTGGAATGCTCTACAAAATGTTCTCGTAATGTATCTTCAAGTGGCAAAGAGACAGCCTGCAACGCCTTCAACTATATATTTAATAACGCAAGCAATTTGGACAACTATTGTCATCTGTTTGATTTCAGCAGTGAATCTCAATACAAAAATGTTACTAATTCTACCTTGTGTCAGGCCTATGAGGTTATACATTCAAAAGATTTTATTTGAAACATTATTTGAAATTTTGCTTAACATTTAATTTGACGGTTTTTCAAATTTTCATTTTACTAACAATATTACATGTTAAATCATTAAAATAAAATTCCAGGACGTCGAAATTAGAAAAGAAATTTGTAAGTTTGAAAGATTATTAAGATTTTATTTTTCTCTAAAAATTATTCGTTCATTAAAACATTGGTTACATTTTGTTGTTGGAACAACAGTTTATTTTTATTTTACACAATCTTCGGCTCTTTTCAAAAGGCTAGATTTTATTTTACAATCATTTCAAGTAGTCTCAGCAAAGTAGTTGGCGATTTGAAAAGTCGAATTTCCAGCCAAAGGGTGAATTTCCAATCGAATTTCCGAATTATTATTTTCCAAAATTAGTTGGCGACCGGGGGAAATTTAAATAATTTATGACCAAGGAGGAGATCCGGCTACTGAGTGTGCATACATAAAAATATCATTACATTTTTTAATCATTAAATTTCACTAAAACCATTTTTCGAAATGCTCTAACATCATTAAAATCGAATGTTTCAAGCATTTTAAATGAAATCCAATTCACGAATTGAATA